GCTGGGGACCTCGGGATGATCGTAACCGATGGTCAGAGACACTGAGCGATATGGCTGGGTGTCGTAAACAGTGGCGTTCGTGCATCTCCTCAATTTCTTCCCAACCTTAGTCCACTGGACTTCTCTATTTTCCTTTCGAATTTGTGCATCTCCTCAATTTCTTCCCAACCTTAGTCCACGGAACTTCTCCATTTTCCTTTCGACTCCACTTTCAACTTTCCTCTTCTTCTCCTATTCTTCATCCCAATGGGCAGCCAAAAGACAGCAACCAAAACCGGCGCACGAAAGTGCATGGTTAGTGGTTGTTCAAACTGAAACTGAAACTGAATGCGATGAGTTGGCTTCAAACCGGTGCATCTGAGGAGATAGGATATTGATAACGGTGGTCAAACGGTTTCAGCCTCTACCATCGGGATGCTTTTGGCCATCAGAATCCGAGGTTCAAATCCGGCCACCGCCACGTCCAACTTTGGTGCCAGGCAGATCTGTTATTGTCCGGCTAAATACCACGACTAACCTCGTGGGGCTTTATGTCATTCAACTTCCCTTACGTCCATTTCTCTTAAAAGGGCATCTTCTTCATTGAATTTGAACTCAAAGGTTCTCCATTCCACAGATTCATGCAACCTATGGGGTTTTTTCTTATCCTCTGTTTTGTGATCACCATATATTTATCTGCTTGTCTCCCGAACTGTGCATAAAATCCACTTCCCCTTCTGTGCCAGACTTTTCTTCTCGATTATTCGTTTGCTTTTGTTTCTGTGTCCCGGTCATCCCTCCTTTTTACGCTTGAATCTTTTGGCACCCGGAGACACCTGCTATTGTGGCTTTCTGATTATTTCAAAGCTGGGCAGGAATACCTCACTAGTCAATAATTCTGGTGTACCTCGAGGTGTTGTCCTCTCTCTGTATCTTTTTTCTGCTTTCATTAGTGATCTTTCAGTTCCACGCCCTGCTCATATCGAAAAGTATGCTAATGACGTCGTTTTATGTCAGACCGTTTCTTCGGAATTTTCTTCCTTCACTGAAGGTCTGTCCCGAATCGACCAGTTTTCAAACCAGTCTAGCCTTAATCTTAACTCACCCAAGTGCTATGAGTGCATTTTTAGTTCTTCTCGCTCTACATTCTCGTCAGACTCTGTAATCCTTAATTGTAACCTTTTCTCTAGAGTGACTTCAGCCAAATATCTTGGTGTTACTATCGATAATGATCTTCGGTGGACGACACATTCAGAACTGTGTGGGAAAACTCCGGCACCTCTCCTTTCAGCTCCGAAAGCTCAGACAATTCCGCACTCCCGAACAAGTTTTGTTCTCCTTTGTTAAGCAATGCGTCCTCCCCATTTTACTTCACTGCTCCCCTGTGTTATTTTTCGGTCTGTTGAAAGAAGGCTTTAAAACTATCCGTCTCGGATTGATGGTAATTTCTGCCGAGTCATTAGTCGCAGAACTTATTAATGGTCATATAAAGTCTTGTGTGACCCTTGCCAATAAGATTCTAAACCAACACTCCCATCATTTGCGTCTTGACTTATCTTCTTGTCGCTCCCACTCGATCACTCGTTCCTTTTATCGGTATCTACCCTCTCGAATAAACATTTTTAAAAACTCCACTGTATCCTGTCTGGATCGAATCTTGACCAACAAGAAACGAGTTTTAAATGAATTACGGTAATCTTCAATTGAATGAATCAAACTTCGGAGATATTTCTTTTTTTACACAGCATTTTTTTGGATTTGTTTATACTTCTACTTTTTCTCAGGTGTGACGACCAATGTACAATTTCTAACTGAAACGTAAGCATATCTCAGATTGCAGAAGTTATACAACTACAACTACAAATACAAAACACTCCATGTCCCAGGGCATAAGTTACCGGTTTCCACGACTGAACATTAGGTCTTTAGGATTATTGTTTTTGTTGTCTGTTGCTCATCTTGCAAGAGGTATGTGATGCAAAAAAGTGGAGTTTAAATAATAAGTAAAGTAAGGTTCCTTTTTAGTCCTGTTCATTACCCAGGAATATTTAGTGTAACTGGAGTAAACCTCTTGACATGAATTAAGATAGCTATTGAACGTTTTCTTTGCTTAGCTCTTCCATGCTCACCAAATTCACCAAACGGATCTGATGAATATTGACGTCTAGTTGTTTTCTATTTTCCTGATGTTCAGATTGACCACAATCTTCACATTACTCGTCCGATATGCCTTTACCTCCGGCCCTGTTAGCGCGTTTAAAGAAACGGGGTCTAGTTAAAGCAGAAAAAAGTGAAGAGGGAGGTAATTATCATCATTTTCTGTTCAACTTCCATCTCACATAGAGGAGGTATTCGCTGAGAATTACGATGAAGAATCTGAACCGGCCCAAGAAACAGCAATACACTTAGAAAATCCGATAGCCATCGATAACACACATACTATCAGCCCACTGCCCATCATTGAGAACGGAATTCTGATTTACGAGTGCGCACAATGTCCTAACTTGCAGAATCCTTACCATAACTGTGTGGCATATTGTTTTGAACGGTATGGAAGACGTAAGTTCTTTTCGGATTTACGGAATATGAGACTGAAAAATCGTATGCTTCAACGATATCCTCTCCCAAGTCACTGGTTAGAAGTGGGTGACCCCAGTACCGGCAGGTAAGTCTACGGTCGATGCGGCATTGTTTTATGCGTTTTACCCCGCTTTTGTGTATGTTTAGTGGGTTGATCTACTATGTACAGCCCAAACATGTGGTGTTAAGGCCATGAGTCGCATCTGCATCATTATTCGCTTGATTAAAGTAAAGTAGTCCAGTTTCGGTTTGTACTACTCCGATTTTTTAAAGTCTGTGTCGCTGATCGAGTCCATT